TTAACTGGTGGTCTTCAGAATTTAGAACTGGTGGTTTAACTGGTGATTTTGAGGTTACTACTACTATTATTTAATGGGGTTACTATTGTTGTTGATAATGGAATGATTTTGATGATGGTTATTATAAGGTTACTGTTTTTTGTACCGGGGTTACTGAGGGGTTTAATTTTATGGGGTTACTAAAAAGATTAGTAAAGGGGTTACTAATGCTATTATTTAATAGGGGTTACTAGAGTTGTTGATAATGGAATGATTTTGATGATGGTTACTATAAGGTTACTGAATTTTCTACTGGGGTTACTGAGGGTTTTACTTTTGTGGGGTTACTAATCTGAATTTTCTACTGGGGTTACTGAGGGGTTTACTTTTATGGGGTTACTAAAAATATTAGTAAAGGGGTTACTACAGTGGTATTTGAGGGGATTACTAGAGGGAATTATAAGCAAATGCTGAAAGGGTTACTGAGGGAGTAATATAAGGGGTTACTAAATTTCACTTATTACGTTACTTATCTTAATTTTTAAAATTTACAGGGATTCAGTATGTATTTTTTTACTACCTCAAATAAAAAAAATTTACATACCTTGGTGTTCAATATTTTCTAATAGAAGTTGCTTGATTTCTGTAATTTTGTTTTCGATCTCCAAATTCATGAATGAATCTTCAATCTCTTCGATTTCCATTGATTCTTATGAATCCAGGAAATTGTATTCTTCGTCTGCCATGGAATTTAGTAAAAAAGATGAAAATTGAGGTGAAAAATCAATGTGTTAAAAGCGTCGGTGTTAAAAGTGAAAAAGTTTTAAAAGAAAAATTGGAGTAAATGGCAAATGAGTGGCGGCGTGTTTTTTAGGTTTTGGGAAGCGTGCGTGAGACGCTTTTTGGTTGGTTTTTCCAGAAATTTCCAAAACGCGCGTTTTTGGAAAGATATTTCATTCTCCGTTATTTTGGTGAGTCCTGTTATGCCGTACGGTGTGGCCGGGGTACCAAAAACGCGCTGTACATGCACCCATTAATATTTATTTATTAATTCTTTATAAGGAAAAAAAAATTGGATTTATATCCTTCACTTATTATCAATATATTTCTTGGTTATATTATCCTTTAAATATTGCATAGTCACCCAAGTAGATAAGATTATTGTTGGCTTGTTGCTAATGCTAGCTAGAGTCCAAGTAGCGACACGTACTGATAGCTTTCATTGTACTACACTTGCAATAACAAAAACGTGGATCTATATTTACCTATGTACTCTCAATGATTTTTAAACCACAATTTGTGGTATACAAACTTAATAGATTTTCATTTGGATCAAGCGTAAACCACCATATCCACGCAGAGTCTACCAATTTGAACAAACACGGCAGTAGAAGACCTTCAAAATTGATGTGAGTTTTACCGACATGCCCCTAACTAGATGAATGAAAAATCGGAAATACCCTTTCCACACTTATATTTTTTTGAAAAACATTCTAATGTTGTGATATTAATTAAGCTAACTCACCAAATTTTTGATTAATCACTCTCCCCATTTAATGAGAAGACATTGTGTGAGGTAAAATGAATACTTCCTCTGTTTTTTTTTACTTGACCTACTTTGACTTTTACACTATTCACCACTCCTCCTTTGACCGTGTTTTGTGAATAATATGTAAGGAAAAATATATTCATGTTGGATCATTTTGAATTCGTCTCAGTAAGTACTATCATAACATATAACTTTTATATATTTTAATTATAGAGAATTAAACTTATAGACCGTTAAAGTTTTACATTGACAAGCGTGATAAAAGAAACAGGTCAAGTAAAAAAGAACAGAGGAAGTATAAGTTATTTGATATTTTATATATATTTTTTTAATATAATTTTAAAATTAAATATAAGTTGTTGGACATTTCATAAATACTCTTAAAACTTCCATGTAAATTATTCATGGTCAAACTATATATAATTTGATGTGCTACTTACAATGCTCTATATAGATTATTTAACTCAAGATCAGCTAATTCTATTAGACAACATTGATCATCTAGTGTATTATATATATGCAAAGTACAATTTCGAGAGGTCATGTTTACAAGGAAATAGATGCGGTCAATAATTTCCACCTATTGGACTATCATTATTTTTATCATTAATGTACCCTAATTGTGGCCCGTGATATTTTGGAGAACTTGTGGACATACAATAATTCCCCATATATTAAAATACCATTATTAAATTAACTAGAGACATGGTGTTTGAAAACTGTGAATTAGAGGTAACAAAATCTAACTCGTGTGACCTGATTTATTCTGATCGACTCGAAAAAAATCATGTTTTAAATTTCTACTCATATGAATACAATAATTTAGCATGACTTAATTTGAAATAGATATAACTCGACCTGATCCAATATCACCCAGTCCGACGCATATACTTGAATTGACATCTAATTGTTGTCTTTGGACCACTACATATCCACAATAAAAGCTCAAAAATATATGAGGCCAATAAATGTTATGTGTACGACGTCTAATTTATATCATTTTATGTTGAATAACATTGTTAAATTTATGTGTACAAAGTACCATTCATATCAATTTTTAGCCAATATTTTATTTGCACTAATCTATTTAACTCCTTTTATATTTGAAAGTGACATATTTTCTCAATGTGACTATTTTTTTTTTTAAAGTATTATACTTTATTTTTTTAATAAAATACTACGAAATACGAAGTACATTTTATCATTAATTTTTCTTATATCAATGTCCTCTCATTATTAAGCTTCTCTAATACTACAAAAATACATTCATAATTAAGTAATCAAATGAAGAGAAATTTCCAAGATGAAATTCTTTTATTGATAAGATCAACATCATACATTATTGTTCTTCATACAACCTTCTTAACAATCTATATGCTTAAGTACATGCGTAGCAACACTTAAACTTTAATGAAACTTAGAATGTGGAAGAAGTCTGCCCTTCTTGGAACTAGACCTAACCACAACAAACGGTAGTCATCTGTGCCCGAAGTAGCGTCAATAACGCCACATACGATATCTTTCTTAGCTGCAAACCCATTGATTGTACTACTAGACGGACAATATTCGAGCTGGTAAAACTCCGAACTAGCAATACTTTTCTCTATCTTGAACCAATTAGCTGCGGTCTGAGGGCTCGGGTTTCCAATACCACCTCCGGTAGACAAGTGGATTTCACCGGAGTTGGCGTCGGGGGTAAGTTGCCATGCCCCTTGCGAGCAGACGCTAGAGGAGTATTGAACATTATGTTAAGGTCAGAGGAAATGTGGATGTGTTTTTGTGATGGGTCTGATGGTAGGAATGTAATTGGGGATTCGCCGTACCAGCCTTCGGCTAATTGGGCTACGTATTGAGGGCATTCGGGCTGGTTTGGTTTGGATGCCGCGACTATGCCACCTCCTATTCTGACTTTTGAAAGTTCTGTACGGACGTAATAAAATGAGCCTACTTCGAGTGGGTTCCCTTCTACATCTAGAACAAGGGAGTCTACGTCGTTGGCGGCTGTGGTTGATGTAACGATGGAAAGAGAGAAAATTAGGAGGATTGTGGTTGAAAGTTGGGAATAAAGATTAGCCATTTTTTTGGGTTTTGTTCGTTTTTTACTTTAGAAGTTTGTGAAGAAAAGCACTAGTACTCTAGAGCTTATTTATAAAAAATGCTAAGTAAACCAACTAGTGTTTGATCTGTGCACCCAGGTGCACCATGCGTTTGGTGTACTCGGTAAAACTAAAAAAGACAGAAAGAACATACATATGAAAATAAAAAACATACTACTATTTGAAAAAAGAATATACTTGTATTTGAAAAAGAACATACCTGTGTATGACAAAAATATATGTTTGTGTTTGACAAAGAACATAATATTTCAAAGAACATAAAGTTTTTATTGAAAGAACATGATATATATTAAAGAACATGATAAAGTTTTTATCATGGTTACATAGGTGGTTGAATTTAACATTTTTTTTCATGCACGTACATTAAAGAAAATATCGTATAATGTAAAGAACATATAGTTCAAACTCAAAGAACATATTATGCTCGCGTTTTTTATAAATGGCTATAATATATTTTTAAAATATGCAAATGTTCTTTCCAAGTGCACCACGTCCATTCCAGATGTTCAATAAAAATTTCATTGACACCTATAAATTACTAGTAACTAAAGTATAAAATCACGGGGTTCAATATCATAAACATGAGAATTAAATTATCAAGCTATCCCTTGTTTATTAAAATTAACAAAAATTAAAATGCTAACTGTTAATCAAACACATTTTTTTTAAATGGCAGTCCATCCTTAAAATGACTATCAATCACTATACTTAATTCCCATTGACCTAGTTATTTTTTTTATTATTTTTTTATATTTGCTTCTCAAACTTAAGATATGATTTGTCTAAAAAAAAAACTAAAGAAATGTATTTTTTTTTTAAATCATTTTTTCAAAAATTAATTATAAAAAGTAAATTTTGCAATAAAACCACCTTTAAATAAATCTCGTTTTTTTTTGCATATAACCACCTTTAAAACAATGTTGTAAAAGACCATAAATTTTAAAAATTTTGGTTGCAACTTGTCACCATTTCAATGTAAAACAATTGATAAATTTAGCTAAAAAAGTTGTAATTTTGAAAAATATTAAACTAATGGTCAAAAGGGTGCATCTGTGACAATTAATAATGCAGAAGCGAGTAACATAATCAAACAAAGGGATTATATATTTTGAGCATTGGTGTGTTACACATATGATATAAAAATGATTTAACACAAGAATGTAATAAGAGCAACACTTGAGTTTTATTATTAATCAACCGACGAATTTGTGCACATTACATACATAGCATGGAACATCAAACATTGGCCATATTAAATCAAACATTACATAATCTGTGAAGTTTGTGTTAAAGCTTTTCTGAAACGAAAGGTAAATTTAAGATTAAAATCAGTATTCATGCCCAAAAGTCCATTCTCAAAAGATTCCAGCAAGTTTGCATATGACGTTGTCACAATGGAATATCTCATATTCATTTGGTTGGACATCGCTGAATGGTAATGTTATACTGAATGGACTAGGCCCGAGCGACTCAGTAGTACCCGCAGCCACATAGATTTGGCCGGTTGCATTATCCGTGGTTAATCGCCACGCTAGTGGCTTCGTGCAGGTGGTAGTGTCGTCAACAACATAGAATTCAGTTGGACCAAACGGAAGGTACTTTGAGCTTATTGGAGAAGTGATTTTGAAAGGGTGGCCAATAGATGAACCATCTTTCTCTTGGGCTATAAAGAGAGGGCACGCCAAGGTTTGTGGTTTTTGTGCCACGGCGAGGCCTCCACCATTGGTGGCGATGATGTAATATGTTCCGCCATTTAGCATTGGTTCACCATCCTCGTCCGTGATATAAGCAAACCAGGCAGCCATGGTTGGAGGAGGAAAGAGTTGGAGCAAAAGAAGAGCGGTTATTGCAATTGCTGGTTGGAGAAAGGTACTCATTTTCTAAAGATTTTTTGAGCTTTGGTTGTTAAATTGTTTGAAGTATTTTGGAAAAGTAGGAGCTTGTAAAATGATATTTATAAGAGGCTCCAAGCTCCAACGAATAAAACTAGAAAATTTAAATGTTAGTTACTCCCTCTCTTCTAATTACATGATCACTACACCAGCTTTTGCCCGAATTGTTATTATTTTATGTCAATAAGTAGCTTAGGACCAGTAACATGCACGATTATTACTGAATTATTATTTTTTGTTATCTTAATCCTAAAATAAAAAAAATATAACATTAAGCTTTATTTATGTAAAATATGCATAAAAATTTGAGTACAAAATAGGGAAATATATTATAAACGTTATACAACAATAAAAGGTTTAAATAAAATAAATTTTGTCGATTTGTACTCAATTTTGTATGACAAACCCTGATAGAAAAAAATAAATTTCTTTAAATTTTATTAATAAAGTGCTAAATAAATTATATTAAGAAAATTTGAATTTTAACACCATAAAAAACGGAAAAATGGATTTTCTAAAAAAAAAAACTTTTATTTTAACACCACAAATTTTTTTAAGAAAATTGAGTTTACCATCGTCCAAAAATCTGTTAAGTGAGGTCCATTGTGCCACATGTCGTCATATTATTAGTTTTAAAAAAAATTAAAAAAAAAAAACCCTAAATTTCCGAGCCAACCCCATCCCCACCACAAACAGGGCAGCGTCGGCCATTACCCCACCCCAAACACCACCGTTTCTAGCCCAGCCGCCGCAAACTCCGTCTCCTCCCTTTACCCCTACCCAAAATCGAATAAACCTCCTAATGACCGCTTAAAAAATGGGCGTGTCGTTTTTCAAACCACCCAAAATCGACCACCACTTACGGCAACTAACGGTCGAAAGTGACCCTAAGTGGTCGTCTCGACCATACATTGGTCTTTTTTGGCCCTTAAAACCTGTTTTTGGTGGTGGTTTGAGTGGTTCGAAAAACAACCACCCGTTTTTTGTGGTTGTTTGGGCAAGGTTGCTGGTTTTAGAGAGGTGGAAAAGGAGGGGGTAGAGAATCTGGTGGCTTTGGCAGGGAGTAGGGGTGTTTGATTGGGTGGGGAAGTGATCGGTGCTGCCTAGCTGGCGGTGGGGACCTGGGCTAATTTAGGGTTTTTTTAATTATTTTTTTGTCCAATAATATGCTGACACGTAAGCAATGTGGAGCCCATTAACGGATTTCATCCATGAAGTAGTTAAGTGATGGTAAAAAAACAAATTTTAAACTTTTAGTGGTGTTAAAATAAAAGGTGGATTTTTTTTTTTTTGTTGTTGTAGTGTTAAAATCCATTTTTTTTCGTTTTTTTGTGGTGTTAAAATTTAAATTTTCCATTAAATTATCTTGATTGTTACATAAGTTAATTTTTAATTTTTTAATGATTCAGTAATGTTTATAAGTAATAAGTACAAATTATATGGTCAAATAAATATAAAAATAAAACATTACTTATATATTTGCATTGCAAAGTTTCATATGCATCTTTTACAACATTCTTTTTAGTGTATGTATTTCACTATGTGATCCAACATGTAATATATTTTGTTAAAAATGATATCTATTATTAAATCATCATATTTGATTTAATCTTTCTATAAGGTGACCGATAATAGTAAATTTTGCTGAAAAATTAAAATTGTCATTTTATGTATTGAATTTATATGTATTTGAAGATTTAATTTAAAATTTTTTATCAGCAATATATGGAATGATATAATCTTTGGTTATAATTTTTACACATTTTCTACAATACAAATGACATAAATCTTTATTGTTGTTGTAACATATATCTTGTGTAATTAGGTTTCTCATAATTAGGGTTGTACACACCTATATATATTGATTAATGAGAATACTCCAACTAAGGAGAATTACACTATTCTACATGGTATCAGATTCCTCTTAGGGTTTTATTTTCTCTCTTTTCCCCAAAACCCTATTCAATCTCTTAGACCTCCATAGCCGTCCATCTCCTCCTCCTACCCGTACTTCCAGCCCTCCTTGGCCGGTGACGATGACTCTGCTCTCCCTCATTCTCCTCCAAAACCAGCCCCTTCCACCCGGCTTTTGCCGTCAAGCAACATCAAATCCCTTATGCCCGTGACTCTTGATCACGAGGACGCCCAATATGCTACTTGGGTTGAACTTTTCCAAATTCATGCTTGTGCCTACAATGTTCTTGACCACATTGATGAGAAGGTGAAGCGTCCAAAGGATATTGATGATGAAACGTGGAAGAGATTAGATGTACTTGTTAAGCAATGGATATACACCACTATTTCCAAAGATCTTGTTAATACCATCATGAAACCGGGTGCTACGGCTCAGGAATTATGGAGCCGACTCGAGGAGTTGTTAAAAATGATATCTATTATTAAAATCATCATATTTGATTTAATCTTTCTATAAGGTGACCGATAATAGTAAATTTTGCTGAAAAATTAAAATTGTCATTTTTATGTATTGAATTTATATGTATTTGAAGATTTAATTTAAAATTTTTTATCAGCAATATATGGAATAAATATAATCTTTGGTTATAATTTTTACACATTTTCTTACAATACAAATGACATAAATCTTTATTGTTGTTGTTGTTGTTCATTGTGCTCAAATAGGAAGGTTATATTATAATAATATGTTAAATATAATTCTAAGAAGATTTGACTAAATAAAATAGAGGGAAAAAAAACAGCAACAGAAAGTGACACTTGTCAATTCTGGTGTCTTTTTTAGTATTATGCAATTATGTAATGTAATGTAAATGTAAATGTAATTGATATATAATAAATAATATGTGTACTCGGTAAGATATACATAGTAAAAGATATTGGATAATATTGTATGCAATAAAAGAAATGGAAAATATGTGAATATATTTTGTAATAAGTAAATCACAATTATATGATTTAGTGAATATTTTTTATTTTTTTAAGCATGTGAATCAGAATTATTGGAAAGAAGTGAATATTTTTTTATAAGGAAGTGAATAAAAAAATGTTTTGGAGGGAAATAAAATGCACCAAGAAGTAACACATATCATTCTTGGTGTCTGTTTTATTAATTATGTTATTGATTGATTGATTTTATTATTCAGTATTTCTTCAATCCTATCAAGCAAGGTTTGATTTAGTGGGAAAATTTACATCTTACGGCAATCAAATTTTATATTCTATTGAAGGTACGTTAGGGAGGAGATTCCTATACCCTTTATCCTAACTCCCAATGACCTAACCTTTAATTTTGATTGGATTGACCTATTTTCTTACCACTAAATCCGCTTCACTTTTATATGGATTCACGTGGTGGATTATAGGGCTTGGGATAGACTTTAATCAATCGCAAGACTTGAGGGTTCAATTTTGAAATCCCGATCAAAAGTGTTAGTTTAATTGCAAAAACTATAATAATCGCAAGCTCACAATTAAATCAACAATTTAATCAATTTCAAACAATCATAACACTCTTTCTGAATTTTATTAACGAAAGAAAATATATTTATAGGACATATATCCCACACTAACTAGAGTTCTAAAAGATAAAAACTAATTATTCTATTGTAGTTGTGAAACAAAGATCACAATAAGATCTAAAATATCTTATCATAAAACTATAACTAACAAATCATAGATAATCTAAAACTCTCCATAATCCTAATTTGACGAACCAAATTGAATAAAAAACTAGTTTTAATCTTAATCTGTAAAATACTCCAGACCCAATAACTAATCTAGCTTGAGTACCCACTTTGTTCCCACATCACACTTGTTGACTTGTATACAAATGGTGTAACATTTAAACCATATACAATATGGAGTATTTCACGAGATATTTTTTGTAAACGGATTTTTTAAAAATTTATTTTTTATAGAAAAATTATGGGGTTAGCATATACCCCTCGGGGTACAATTAAAGTAGGCCACTGGTCACCGAAGAAGACAAGAATGTTGGCTTGTTGCTTATGCTAGCTAGTGGCCATGTACAGCGATAGGATGACTCGGAAAGATTTTTGGATCACAATTGTTTAATGTTATAAACCATATTCACAATAGATTTTTTGTAAATAAGAATGTTGGCTTTTTGCTAATGCTAAGCCGTGTAGTGACATGTACAAGTTATAGGATGAAACTTAGTTTTCATTGTGTACTACATTTGCAATAACAAAAACGTGGATTTTTTGGACCACAATTGTGCGATGCTTAAACCATATACAGTACGGAGTATTTCACGTACAAGAGATTTTTTATAAACAGTTTTTGTTTTTTTCTTTTTATAAAAAATTTACAGGGTAACACGTGTACAATGTAGGTCCGTTAGTGATGACCCAGTAGATAAGAATGTTTGCTTGTTGCTAATGCTAGCTGAAGGGCCAGGTAGCGACATGTACAGTGATAGGATGAAATTAGTTTTCATTTTAATACATTTGCAATAACAAAAATGCGCGTGGATATGTATATTTACCTATGTACTCAGAAAGATTTTTGACCACAATTGTGTAAAGACGGTAAAGTTTATAAAGTTTTTTAAGAGAATTTTTTTATTTTCTTTTTTATAGGGGTAGCACAGTGATTGGCTTGTTGCTAAAGCTAGCTAGAGACAAGTAGCGACATGTCAAAACTCAATAAGATTGGTATTCACCTCGCACAAACTAGATAGATTTTCATTGTAATAGAGTAAAAAAACATATTTTTGAGCATCAATCGTTAGCTGAACCTTTTGGTTAACTTGACCTGTTAATACATTGGATTAAGCATAAAGCCATGTCAAAGATGAGTTTATAGTACATGTACAAAGTTACCTTACAAAGTTACAAGTCATGTGGGATTGCATTCTAAATTTGTGATTTTGAGTTAAGTCGTCCACCAAATTTTGAATTAATCACTCTCCCTTCTTTTACTGTCACAATTATTAACAATTCGCTAGATATTTAAAGATTAATCATCAAGACGTCAATAACCCCTTCTCATATTCCTTTCAACTCGTTATAATAATTGTAGTATTTCTTCTGTATTAACTATGTTGTTACAATATCTAATTCAATCTAATCTATCTTGACCTAACCATGATTTTTACCTCACTAAACCAACATAGTTTTACAACAATCTTATATTAACCTAATTTTTTTTAACTTAAACATAATTACTTCGATTCATGTAATTTATTTATTTAATTAATTGCTAAGAACTTTTTTTACTTAAATATGACACAACAACATGTGGCCATCCTCAATTTATCTATAATTAGTTCATTTCTTATTGTCTAATTTATATAGATATGGTAAGGTATTGACAAATTGTGACTTAAAAGATAAAACTTATACATGACGGACCTAATATACTAACAAAACTAAGAAATATTAATGACACAATATGAAAGATAATACATAAAAGACCTAATAGTGACCCAATGATAAGGTATTAACTCAATAATTACCCTGGTTTAATAATGCCCTTATTTAAATATATAATTTGGTCATGTTGACCCAAATTTAGACAAACTCAATGCAATAAGGTTTTGAATTGGGTCGGAATTGACTTAATAATGACTCAGTTGTATCATAATCAAACTAAAATGAATAAAAATCATTTGAACCGTAATCAATCCCACCCAAAGTCATTTGACCCAAAATTAATCCAATCCAGCTAATATAAGTTTGAGCTCGATACGAATTTATCAGAAGCGAATATGAATGAAGTTGACCCAACCAAAACACAACGCTAAATCGATTGATCTTTACCCGATCCTAACCGAGGTGGGTAAAAATGGTAACTTAGATATTTTATTACTTAATGTAGAAATATGTTTGGTAAATAGATGATTATTTAAAGCTGATTGATTATGTAAAATGATCAATAAGCCAATTGTGGGGTAATTAGTTCATATACTATTTTTTTTCTTAAATGAGGGTATAAGTATCATTTCACTATAAGAATTGAATAAACTAATTAAAAAAAGCCCCTAAAATGAGCTTTTTGAAAAAGAGCTTATTTAGTAGAATAACCTCTTTAAATAAGCTTCCCATCAAACACCTTGAATTAGCTTATTTATAAAGTACGTTGGAGCTAGTAAGATATTTATAACGATAACATGTCGTACATTATTGTTCTTCATAAAACCTTCTTAATCAAAGAACATTATATATAATGATGAGTACATGCGTAGTAATGCACTTTGGAGCGAGGAAGACGCCGCGGCAATTAAGCTTTAATGAAAAAAAAACATTAGGCCAGTACTGAAATAATCATCTGGCCTTATTGGAAATAGACTTAACCAAATCATACGGTGGTCATCTGTGAGATTATCAATACTACCATCGATAGCCCCGCATACTATATCTTTCTTGGTTGCAAACGCATCGATCGTATTACTTGAATGGACAGTACTCGAGTTGGTAAACCCCGGATCACTCTTCTTTTCTCTATCTTGAACCAATGGCGGCGGTCTGAGGGCTCGGGTTTCCAATACCACCTCCGGTAGACAAGAAGAGATCACCGGAGTTGGCATCGGGGGTAAGTTGCCATGCCCCTTGCGAGCAGGCACTAAATGAGTTGTTGAAGACTACGTTGACGTCTGAGGAAAATGTGGACATGTTTATGTGATGGGTCTGATGGGAGGAACTTTATTGGGGATTCGCGGTACCAGCCTTCGCCTAATTGGGCTACGTATTGAGGGCATTCGGGTTGGTTTGGTTTGGATGCCGCGACTATGCCACCTCCCCATCTAAATGTTGACTGGGGAGTACGGACGTAGTAAAATGAACCTACTTCGAGTGGGTTCCCTTCGATATCTAGGACAAGGGAGTCTACGTTGTTGGCGGTTGTGGCTGAAGAAACCATGGAAATAGAGAACATAAGGAGGATTGTGGTGTAAAGTTGGAGATAAAAATTAGCCATCTTTTTAGGGTTTGTTCGTTCTTTATTTTTGGAGTTTGAAATATGATGTAAACAAGAGCTCTGGAACTTAAATATATATATAAAAAAAAAAAAAAAAAAAAAAAGCTATGTAAACCACCTCACATTTCTTCAGACCTCAACATTTGAAAATTCTACTACCAAAAATTTTAAAATTGTACTGTTGTGATTTAATGATTTTTAAATTATTTTTAAATGCTAAAATTTATTTTTCTCATTTTTAGGAATTCGTAAATATTTGAAAATTAGTCATTCTAATTTTTATTTTTTTCAATATATATTATTTTCTTTACAATATATAACAACTTTGTTTCTGTTTTATTTATTTATATATATATATATACCGATACATGGTGCACTCGGGTGCAGGGATGGATACAGCTAACACCAAGGGTATGTATGTGCATAACCTACATGTGCATTAAAATAAAATTTATAGCAGCTTTATGGCAAACCATTAAGCGTAGCTAGCTGTTTATCTAATTGTCTATTAAGCGTTATTTGCTTCCTTGAATTGTCACTTTAGTCTATAGTTGGAATCCATTGTAAACAATTTTCCCAACTATTATTTGCTGACTACTACATGTTAAGATCGTTTATGCAAACAGGTTAGGATTATTGTCTATTAAGTAAATAATTGTGCACACCTTGTTTGTAAATTCTGAATACGCCACTACCCAGGTGCATAGATTAAGAATTATGTATAAAGAAGTTTTCTGATCATAATTATCCCGCCAAGTGAACATTTCACATAGGAAAGTGGAGCTTAAAATGTGTTTTTGATTATGTGGTAATTTATTGCTCGAAGTGTCAAATTTAGTCCATAAACTATTTTTTGTCAATACTTTTGCCAACTCAGCATAGAATATTAATAATTTAATTAATGTCGACGGAAAACAAATGACACATACCAAAGTAAGATCCCTAAACTCTTACTGATTATGATTAGTTTCTAAACTATTTGGTCAGAAAACACCTACATTGGCTGTTGAAGGATCAAAAGTGACATTTAAGAGTTAAGGGATCAAAAGTGCATAAGTAAAATAGTTTATTAGAGACTTTAATTTTACTTAACATTTTTTTTTCTTTCACTTCATACCGTTTTGCGTCATTTATTCAAAATATAAATAAATAAATAAAAATTACATTATAATTTTTTTCTCGCCGTTGAGGATCATTATGTAATAATCTTTGAAAAAACATTTACTCGTACCATAATTGTCACCGATTATATTTTGGATTAAATAACAAGATAGCATTTGCTTGGGACATGGACCACATTGTCCACATAGTGGTTTAACTGGTGGTCTTCAGAATTTAGAACTGGTGGTTTAACTGGTGATTTTGAGGTTACTACTACTATTATTTAATGGGGGTTACTATTGTTGTTGATAATGGAATGATTTTGATGATGGTTATTATAAGGTTACTGTTTTTTGTACCGGGGTTACTGAGGGGTTTAATTTTATGGGGTTACTAAAAAATTAGTAAAGGGGTTACTAATGCTATTATTTAATAGGGGTTACTAGAGTTGTTGATAATGGAATGATTTGATGATGGTTACTATAAGGTTACTGAATTTTCTACTGGGTTACTGAGGGTTTTACTTTTGTGGGGTTACTAATCTGAATTTTCTACTGGGGTTACTGAGGGGTTTACTTTTATGGGGTTACTAAAAATATTAGTAAAGGGGTTACTACAGTGGTATTTGAGGGGATTACTAGAGGGAATTATAAGCAAATGCTGAAAGGGTTACTGAGGGAGTAATATAAGGGGTTACTAAATTTCACTTATTACGTTACTTATCTTAATTTTTAAAATTTACAGGGATTCAGTATGTATTTTTTTACTACCTCAAATAAAAAAAATTTACATACCTTGGTGTTCAATATTTTCTAATAGAAGTTGCTTGATTTCTGTAATTTTGTTTTCGATCTCCAAATTCATGAATGAATCTTCAATCTCTTCGATTTCCATTGATTCTTATGAATCCAGGAAATTGTATTCTTCGTCTGCCATGGAATTTAGTA